ATTAATTTATAAAAAACAGTTTTCTGATTTTGTAAATCAGAAAACTGATTTCTGAATTAAAACTGATTTTTGAATTAAAAAATCAAACTGATTTTTTATCACGGATAAAAAATTAAACTGATTTCTGTAAATCACAGATATTTTTTATCAAACTGATTTTTGATCACTGAATTAAAAAATTAAACTGATATCTGGAAATCCACATATTTTTTATCAAACTGATTTTTGAATTAAAAAATCAGTTTTTGTTTATATAATAAAAAAATGATTTCATATGTTTCATGAAAAAATTGATTTTTGAAATCTATAAAATCAATTTTTTCATAAAATTTATAAAATCAGTTTCATTTTTTGTTTATTCATGAAACCTATAAAATCAATTTTTCATGAAACATATGAAATCATTTTTGTATTATATAAACAAAAACAGTTTGTTTAGTTTTTTTATTTCTGTTTTAATATATAAAATACATTTTTTTACTTAATTTCTGTTTTTTACCTATGAAAAAGTTTATTATTAATTTTTGTATTATTTCAATTATTTCGTATTTACTTATCAAGCTTATCAATAATGTAAAAAAATGACGTTTTTATGTTTTTTATGAAACAACATTTTATTTAAAATAAAATATTATAATATCCGAAATTATTTAAAAATCAGTTAAATAATCCGAACATTTTATGAGCGTTTTATAATATTAAAATAAAATATTATAATATCCGAAATATTATAAAAAAAATAATTAACAGTTTCATGATTTTGTTGGGTTAGACATATTAACTTTTTTGAAAGTTTAAAATGAGGGGGCGAAAATTAATGGAGTTGAAATTATTATTCTTAATAAATATCCGAAATTAACAAAAGCTCAAAAACTCAAAAATATCCTTGACTAAATATTTAATAATTAACTATTCTTAATAAATATCCGAAAAACTCAAAAACATATAAACATTCAATATCTAAGGCATGCTTTTTTAAATTAAGATAGAACATGATTAAGCATATAAAAAAATAATATACACATATCATGAAACGATAAATCTAAAGCATGCATTTTTAAATTATGAGAATGCATATGAATATACGAACAATAAAATTACGAGCATGCATATGAATAAATTACGAGAATGCATATAAATTACGAGTTTTTTAAACAATAAATCTGGAGCATGAAACAATGAATGCATATGAATATACAAACATAAATATTTTTAGCATGCATATTCAAAGAAGTAAAACATGCATTTGAGTGTATAATATTACAAACAGTAGCATTTGAGTATAATATTCAAAGGTGTAGAACATGCAGAGGCGGAGATGATCCGCGGTGGCCGGAGAGATGTGTGCGGTGGCGGTCGGCGAGTGTAAGAGAGGCAGAAGGGCGGTGGTCGGCGGGTGTAATAGAGGCAGAACGGCGTTTGGGAGAGTGGCGGTCGGCGGGTGTAAGAGGCAGAAGTGCTTTGGGAGTAGAGAGTAAGGGAAAAAATCTAGAGCAAATTGTTAGGGTTTGCTGAAGAATTGGGAGCGTAAGGAAAAAAATGGCTAAGTGTCCTTTATATATTAGGGGTTGTCACGGACCCATCCGTGACAACGCCCGTGACAACGTAATTACGGATTTTGAATTTGTCACGGATTAATCCGTGACAAAATCATCGAAAATTGAAAACTGCGGGACGGCAGTCGAGGCGGCAGGGAACGACAGACGAGGTAGCAGAACGGCAGGTTGACCGGTTTGTCACGGATCCATCCGTGACAAATCCGTGACAAAATTCAAATTTTTGAATTTTGTCACGGATTTGTCACGGATGGATCCGTGACAAACCGGTGCAGGGAATATTAAAGCTTTTCAGCCTTTTTCAGACGAGGCGTCAACTACTTTAATTGTCACGGACCTATCCGTGACAAATTTAAGTATAAATATGTGCTTAGAGTCCCATTTCTTCAGTGCGAAAAAATGGCTAATCCAGAATCAGATGTGTGGAGGTTGATCAGTAGAAGTGTACAACGATTAAAACAAGTTACACAGTTGATGAAGCCTCGAAATGCAGAAGCAGTTCAAAGCATCCGTGAGCTGATGAGTAGACCGCTTGAAAGCTTTGGCGATATTGTAGACTATGAATCAGACTCATACAACGTTTCACGAGGGAAAAATTTGTGTAGGGCACTTTTACGTGCAGAACAATGTTCGGAGTATATGATACCTATAAACGCGGAAGCTGCAGAAAGAATTAACGAGCTACTTGATAGGCCTCTAGATGAAAGCTTTGACGCTAATGAATAATATTGTGTTTATTTGTTTATCTGTATTGTGAGTTGTTGAATGTAATAAATGATAAAAAATTGTGTGTTTTCTACTTAGTTTTTAAATTTAATAAATAAATTCATGTTCTTGTTTATTAAATTTCGAATTATTAAAATTTTGTAATGTTAAAAAACTAATAACAAATAATGTTAAAAAACTAATTTCCGAATTTTAAATAATGTTAAATTTCGAATTATTTAAAATTTAAATAATTTTCAATTTTCGAAATTACCTAATTCATTTTAAATTTCCGAATTGATAATAATGAACCACTAATTTTCGATTGAATAATTTTAAAAACTTAATTTTATTAATTAATAATTGATATTTTACAATATAATATGGAATAATTATTTTTTTTAGAAATTATAGTTGCGAATTACATACCTAACTATCTTGGAATAATATAATAATGACGAAAGAAAGTTAAAAATTCAAATTATAATAGTTCAATTAAAAGTAATTACATTGGTTGTTAACTATACATTTAATCGCTATCAGAATCAGTATTTTCTTGATAGCCAACTTCTTCTTCTGTATCTTCATCATCATATATCCATTCTTCTTCTTCCACCTGGTCATCGTGCAGTTGTTGTATATATAATTCTTCAATTTCACGCTCATTTTGAGGTATAGGGGGCGGAAGGTGTGTTTCAGGCATAACTTCAACATCTCCGCCATTTGGGTCACTTAACTGAATGTTATGGTTGACCGCGTCAGCAATAGGCGGAGGTTGGAAAAAATCTTGCTGAAAAGCATCAAAGTCAATATCCTTGTGTTGAGCCTGTGTTACAATTTTGCTCGGACGGATATTAATGGCACACACCCAAGGATTCCGTGTGCGCCTCGTTGAAGGATACTCTGCATAATAAACCTGGGTTGCTTGTTGAGCGAGTATGAAAGACTCATTTTTCTGATACACACGAGAGTGGTTGACGTCAATTATATTATACTTTGAATTTTTTCTCACACCACGTGTAGGGTCGACCCATGTGCAGCGAAACAACACGCATGTTAATTCTTGCAAACCAGAAGGTATTTGATGTTCGAGAATCTCATGCAAGAAACCAAAAAAATTGGTTTCCGAGTTATCAGAACCGATGGTCGGGACACATAACCCGCTTCTCCATATTCGACTGTGTGATACGTATAACCGTTTATCACATATGAATGCCAAACCTTTGCATAGGAAGAAGGGCCCCACGATAATGATACTAAAAGAGGGTCGTTAATCCCACGGTACCTGATCTGCAAATTAAAACATGATAACATTAGGTAATGATTAAAAATTATTAGCTAATAGTATATATAACGTATTTATATATATATATATATATAATACCTGCTGTTGGTACCATAATGCAAAGTCAGAGTCCACCATTGCATCAATTGCATCATCAGGAAATCCTGATAAAGACACTCTAAATTCACTGTGAATTGAAACATAAAGATATTATTATAACACTCTAATTTTTAAAAAAATATTAGTTATATTACAAATGTAACTACCAATTCAACTTACTTATAAAATGGTAAGATTTCTGGACAATTCATGAGGATGTAAGTATGTGCAATTTTCATTTCTCCGCCCACGATGTAAAGGTAAGTCGCAGCTCCTTTACCTCTACCTGGGTAGTTGAAAATAGAAACTATTTATCATATGAATCCTCGCCAATGTCATCGTTCCGAGCAGGTCTCTTTCTTTTACTGATGACTTCACGCTCAAAATAAAAAGATGAAAATGTTGAGGTTTCTTGTTGAATATATGCTTGACAAATTGAAGCCTCAATGTGTGCCTTGTTGGTCGCTTTCTTTTTCAAATCTCCCAGAAATCTGTCATGCAAAATAAAATTTGTAAACAAACAAATGTTCTTATTAAACAAATCATCGTTTATAAATGAAATTATGACTAACCTTTCAAATTTGTACATCCAACGATAGAAGACGGGCCCTCCATTCAAAGCCTCATACGGAAGATGTATTAGAAGATGTTCCATTACATCAAAAAATGATGGGGGCAGTATCTTTTCCAGATTACACATCAGAATAGGAACAGTGTCTTCTAGTCTCCTCAGGGATTCGGCATCCAAAACGGCGGAACATATCGACTGAAATAATTGACTGATTTCGGTAATACAACCCCAGACGTCTGCATGAAGCATCTCTTTCAGTGCAATCGGCAGAAGTCGTTGCATGATTACATGAGCATCATGAGTTTTCATGCTCGACGTCATTGTTTATTTGTCCAGGTCCACGCATCTTGACAAGTTAGAACAATAGCCATCTGGAAAGTTCAGAGAAACAAGTCACTCTAATATTGATTCCCTTTGTGGGGATGTGAGTTGGTAGACTGCTCTTGGAATTTTTTTACCCACATATTCTAGATCGACGGCGAGTTCGGGTCTGTCGCACCAAATTGTCATGTCTTTTCTAGATGCAAGACCATCTTTGGTTTTGTGGGTAAAATCCATAACCGTGTTAAATACATTGTCAAAGACGTTCTTCTCAACGTGCATGACATCTAAATTGTTACGAATGAGGTCTTTCCAATACGGCAACTCCCAAAATATACCCCTCTTTGTCCACTTATGGGTATCACAATACCCATTTGGCTCCCCGTAGGGTTGCTGCACGGCCGTAGGAAAACGTCGAACCCGGTTAAAAACTTGTTCACCTGTAAGTCTTGGAGGAGGGGGATCTCGTACCACTCTTCCGGCAATAAAAGACTTCTTGTCCTTTCGATATCGATGGTTCATAGGCAGAAACTTGCGGTGACAATCAAAGTAACTTGGTTTCCCGCTAAATTTGAGCCAATTGGCATCTGATTTCTCCATACATATCGGACATCCCATAAGACCGTGTGTGCTCCATCCTGAAAGCATACCATAAGCAGGGAAGTCGCTAATGGTCCAAATGATGGCAGCTTTCATGATAAACATTTGATCTCTTGAAACATCATAAGTTGATGTCCCAATGACCCAAAGTTCTTTCATCTCCTCGATCAGGGGTTGGAGATAGATGTCTATCCTTTTTTTAGGATCCGAGGGACCTGGACAAATTAAAGTTAAAAAAATGAAATGACTTTTCATGCACATGTCGGGAGGAAGATTGTAAGGAGTTAGCATGACTGGCCAACATGAAAATTTCTTCCCAAACTTTTCAAAAGCAGCAAATCCGTCTGAACACAATCCCAGTCGCACATTCTGTGGCTCCATTGCAAACTGAGGATGACAACGGTCAAAGTGTCTCCAAGCTTCACAGTCGGAAGGGTGAGACATCAAACCCTCTTTGGTTTCGTGCTCAACATGCCACGTCATGTGTTTCGCAGTAGCATTTGAAGCATACATCCTCTTCAGGCGTGGAGCTAGAGGGAGGTAAAACAATTTAGACAATGCAGACCTTTTTGGTGGTTTTTTTCATCTATGAGGAACAGGTTTGTATCTCTCTCCACCACAGAACTTGCAGCTCTCAAGTGCCACATCATCCTTCCAAAACAACATACATCCTTATGGGCACGCATATATTTCTATACAAGGAAGCCCCAACTGAGACATTAATTGTTTCATTTTGTAATATGAATCAGGAAGATTATGGTCACGCGGTAACATTCCTCCAAATGACTGCAATAACCTAGACATGCAAGATTCAGGAAGACTGTATTCAGATTTAATGTTCATCAACTCTGTAACGGCGGATAGCTGAGAGTATCCCTCACAATCAGCATACAGAGGCTGATCGGCAGCTTTTAAAACATCTTGACATCTTTCAGCTAAGTCTTCAATATGAGGAACATGAGAATTCGGATACTCATCCGCATCAGGTTGATAAAAGGTCGGATCTTCATCCGCATCGGGTTGATACGAGGTCGAAGCTTCGGGAAGATCGTTAAATGGCTGTGGTGGGTTAAACTGAATCGTTGAAGCACCGTATACATCATATGCCATTCTTTGATCCCACGTCATTTGATCATAGTCTCCCCATCCACTCATCTCGGTAGGGACGTTACGAGATGAACCTACTGTTTGTGGTAAAAGTGATGGATCGAAATGTTCGCCATGAGAAGTCCAATTATAATAATTGGCAACGAAACCTTTTTCGTACAAATCCCACACAACTTGGTCGACATCTTTAAATTGAAGATTTTTACACTTTGTACATGGACATCTGATTTTATCATCATCCATATAATTCTTCTGTTCTTGTGCAAATTTAATAAAATCTCCAACACCATTAAAAATTTCACTGCGTATTCCATAGTTATCGCGATGTTTTTGGTACATCCAACTTCTGTTTTGTCTATACATTATGCCTGTATATATATTATAAACAAAATATTATATAAGTATATTAATATTATTAATTAACTAAAAGCAGTGCATTATTTGTGGCATTAATAATTTGAATTAACCAACTTTTCAATCACGTAGAAACGCCCACTAAAATATTATTTAGAAACATTAAGCTGGCCGGAATTAATAATTTACTAATATAAAGTTCACTAAAATTAACTAACGTTCAATTAAAATTACTAATTAACTAATAGCAATATGTTAATGGCATTAATCGTTTTAATTATTAACTAATTCACAATATTAGAATTTGTGCACCAAACACACTAAATTATTACGTTAATGGCATTTATTCACAATACTAAAATTATGAAAATCTAATAGTACACATTAAATAATTAACTAACATATAATACTAATTAAAGTTATTACGTTACGTTAATGGCATTTATTCACAATACTAAAGTTAACTAATTTAACTTATTAATTAGTTAATTTCCATTTAACTAATATTGTTGAATATCATTAATTCACAATAATATATAATTCACACTTAACTAATAAAGTTTGAATCCTAACTTAAATCACTACAAATCCTAAATTATGCATTAACAATAATTAACTAATAAACAAATTAAACTTAATCATCATCATTGATCAATTAACTAATATTTAAATCAAACTAATATTGTCAACTCAAATTCTAAACCCATTTCCTCAATGTTTTAACTTAATTAATTAGTTAATTAATTTACATTTAACTGATATTATTGTAAAATATTATCTCATTAATAATTCACAATAATAATTCACACTAAACTAAATAATAATAAAGTTTCAATCCTAGCTATATTATGCATCCCATTAACAATAATTAACTAATTTAACTTATTAATTAGTTAATTTCCATTTAACTAATATTGTTAAATATCATTAATTCACAATAATATATAATTCACACTTAACTAACAAAGTTTGAATTCTAACTTAAATCACTACAAATCCTAAATTATGCATTAACAATAATTAATTAACTAATAAACAAATTAAACCTAATCATCATCATTGATCAATTAACTAATATTTAAATCTAACTAATATTATCAACTCAAATTCTAAACCCATTTCCTCAACGTTTTAACTTAATTAATTAGTTAATTAATTTACATTTAACTAATATTATTGTGAAATATTATCTCATTAATAATTCACAATAATAATTCACACTAAACTAAATAATAATAAAGTTTCAATCCTAGCTATATTATGCTTCCCATTAACAATAATTGCTAATAAATAATAATTGGTGATAATTAATAACCTAATAAGCTAGCTAACTTAATTAAATCACTACAAGTCACTAATTAATTAATCTATAATAAGCTAGCTAATACTTCAATCACTACACATCCTAAATTATGCATTAATAACAATAATTGCTAATAAATAAACCGGCCTAATCATTGGTGATATAAACTCATTTAACTAATTAATTAAACAAACCGGCCTAATCCTAGCTATATTATGCATCACATTAACTAATTAATATTTATATTTAAATTTAACTAATTAAATTACGTTAATAGTTTAATAATATATTGTTAATAATATGAAAATTAACATGACCTCACTAAATTACGTTAATAGTTTAAATACATGAACAACTAACCTCACTAATTAATTATTAAGCTAGTAATTAATTTATTACACAATTAAAAGAAATTAGTTAAAATGACATACCTTATCTGCATAAACTGGGAAAATGATGAACTGACGGATTACATCATTCAATCTTTAAACCGATACTACATCACTCGAATCTACGAATTCTTGAACTGATAATTGTTGTTCTTGCAATTGTAATGGACGATGGGGTTGGGTTATACCCTTTTTTCGTACTGTATTATTAAAGGTTACCGCTGGAAAATCAATAATTGAAGTTTGTCACGGATTTTGTCACGGATGGATCCGTGACAAAGTTTTTTTGAAATTTGTCACGGATCTGTCCGTGACAAATGCCCGGGAGAAAAAAAAAGTATTCACCGGAGTAAAAAACCGGTCGCCGGAGTAAATTTGTCACGAACCAAATCCATGACAATATTTTGTCACGGATTTTGTCACGGACCTATCCGTGACAACACATTTTCGTGACAAATCCCAATATTCCGTGACAAAGCCCGTGACAACTTTGTCACGGCCGTAATCCGTGACAAAAATCTGTGACAAAGAGCGAGTTTTTTTGTAGTGTTTATTCGTATTATATTCCTAATTCTTGCTTGAGTGTTCTTACGTAGCTTTCCTAAAAGCCTACGAGCGTTCTATTTTGGACCAACATTATCTTTTATAAGTTACTTTTCTCACCTTTAAAATTTTTACCATGACAGCTCAATCTTCCACACTAGTGTGTCCGAGGAAAAGGACAAGGGTAGTTTTGAAAACAATTTTGTGGAAACGGATTTTTCCAAATGTATAAAATAAAAATCCCAATGGCCTTTGCTACTGTAACCTACCCGGCCATCTACAATTTTTAATTATTTTATTATTTAGTTATTTGACTACCAGGCCAAACAAAAATAAGAAAGACATAAGAAAATTTCAATTTAAACTAATGATCGTCAGAATCTATGAATGGGGATGGAACTTTTTGGAGCAATTTTGATCTGCCAAATTTGAATGTTCAAAGCAATTACAAGGCAACATTCTACTACGATCCATTCTGAAGGTTTAGAAGAATTAATCGACACTCATGACGAAGCAACGTGTATTATTGCTAGTCAAGAGTTAATAGACGATTCAGTCCAAAGCTGAGTTCTACTGACTACTGACTTATAAATTTTGACTCATCAATGTTGTAGAAATCGTCTGAGAATTTATACTCCCTATTACGGAAATTGCAAAAAATAGGAGCAAATAGGATTTGGAATTCCAAAATTGGACTAATATGTTTTTCTTCCCGAAATAGGAGTTGTTATTGTCATGCATGAAAAATACTGCCATGATTGAAAAATAATGCAATTAATTATAATAAATATTGTCATGTTAAATGCGCTGTACTGCAACTATTTGGCAGTCACGCCTACAAGATGACAGTAAATATTATCATGTTAGTCCCATTTCGAGAATAAAAACATATTAGTCCTATTTTGAACTCCATTTACTCCTATTTTGGGAAATCTCCTTTTATATTATTATTAGCCTTTTCCCTTTGGTATGATGCAACTTTGAATTATAGTATATGTATATATCTTAACGATGTTAAGTAGTTGTTTGTTTTTTATAGTTATGGACAGATTTATCATATTTTTAATTTAATGTATTTTCCATATTGTATTCAACAAGATTTAGTTATTCCGGATTGTCATTTTATTTACTTAAAACGTAACTTCCATTCAGGGCCGGTTCTGGGGCATGGGCAAGGGGGCGTGCGCCCAGGGCTCATTGCTCATGTAGGGCCCATAAATTTACCAGTTAAACATAAATATAAATTATATATACGTTATATATCTATAAAAATTTAAAAGTAAAATAAAATTTATAATTTTTATACTTCCAATTCATTAATTATTCAACAATATCTAAATGCTATGTCTAAAATTTTGAAACATCTACACCAAAATTTATTGGGAACGACTTCACAATTCTACTCATTCATAAAGTGTTAGTGCATAAATGTTAATCTTTTCATCTACTTCTCTCATGTAAACCCATGATTCATTCATAGGGCTGACATTTTGAACCGAAAAACCGAAAACCGAACCGAAAAAAACCGAACCGCTTTGGAAAAAAACCGAACCGA